CTGTTTGATGGCTCTGTTTGCTCTCTGGCCTTTTCCGGACCAGTGATGCTCCAGACTGGGCGGCAGCTCGCTAACCACCTAGGTCACGGATCCTTGTGTGGAATAAAGAGAGGGACAATAGTGTCCCAGCATAAAACAGAAAGGCTGCAGCAGCTGCTTAGCAACTCTTCTGAGGAGCAGGCATAAACCATGCCATAAAAAAGGAGCCGGAGGCCCAAACAATGGCTGAAAGCTCAGAGAGCATCCTGGCAAGTGTCCTGAAAGCACCGTGGAGAGCCATACAGAGCTGAACAAAGGGCCACCTCCTGGGCCACCTTGGAAACCCTGATTCCCATCAGGCCAAGGATGGGCCTCTGTCCTGGGCCTGTCAATAAATCCCGACATCCGAACCAGCCCCGAGGTTCCCAGGGTGAGTGCCTCTTCCCCTCCCATCACCATGCATTTGTGGATCACAGCACCCGGCCCTTCTCGGTGGGGGCTGGAGAGTTTCTTGTGCCACAACCCTCCAGTGCAGAGGCACACATCAGCACCAGCAGGTCCCTAGATGTGTGGCCTTAGATTGAGGATACCAAACTGGGTTTGGGCCCCACACCAGCTCTCAGCGGTTACGGGCAGCTGTCTGTTGTGCTGTGTTGAGGGCTGCCTGCAGCTCTGCCACCGGAAAGAGAAACAGGTTGTGTTTGCTGAGTTCTGTCCCTTATGGGTGGATGCTGGAGCTGAACCCAGCACTGCCCATTCCTGACCCAGCCACTACCTGGACTGTCCTTTTGATTATCCCCCACCATACTGCGGTTTCCCACGTTGCCATTCCAAGCAGTAGCCGTTGCCAATTCCAGTGACAGCGTTTTTACACACTACTAGTGTCAGAATAGCTGGAAACTTGTCAAAATACAGACTCCTTTACTCCCGTAATCTGCATTAAAATACCTGAGGGAACTTAGCCAGAATGCTAGGCATCACGGTATAGGCCCATTATCCCTGCACTCTGAAGGCAGGAGGATCACAAGTTTTGGGTCCAGCATGGACAACTTAGTGACTTAGTGAGACTCTGTCTCAAAATGACAAATAAAAAGTTCTGGAGATGCAGCTCATTATGAAGGTCTTGTGTTCAGTTCCCAGCAGTTAAAAAAAAAAAAATCCATTTCTGGGCCCCAGAGCAGAGCTCTTAATATGGAACATTTGGGATAGAGGCAGAATCTTTACTGGGATGTCTGCAATCTCCTGTTAGCAAGCATCCTGAGAATCGTCTCCTCCAGAAACACTGCTCCTACCTGGACTATCACACCTGAGGCCACTCTTCACACTGCTCTTCTCCATTGGATTCTGGTGGTTTCTAAAACATTTTCAGTATTCTTTAATATCTCTCTCTTCAAAATGTGGGGCCCGCTGGGGATTTAGCTCAGCGGTTCGGTGGCCTGCCTTGCAAGCGCAAGGACCCGAGTTCAATTCCCGGTACCCACAAAAAAAATGTGGGGCCCGAGTTCCGCTCTGCCTGCGGGCAGGACCTGGGGACTGTGCCTGTGTGACAGTCCACATCAGAGCACACAGGTGTGGGGGCCTCATACTCACTCTCTCTTAGATCACCTTCTCTGGGGGAGACCGGCTGCCCAGTTTGAGGACCCTCCAGCAGCCCCATGCCATGGCCCATGAGAGGGAAACAGAGGCCTCTTGCTCACCCCGGTGGCATGTGGCCTGCAGGTGGCTGTAGCCCCATGACAGACCCTGAGTTATCAGTGCTTAGCTGAGCAGCTCCCAATTCCCTACCCACAGGAACTGTGAGATAATAAATAAGTGGGATTTGAAGCCTCTAAAGTTGGGAGTAATCTGTTATGCAGCGACAGACACCAAATACTGTGCATGAGGGAAAAATGTATCCTGTAGGTTTCTCACAGGGCCACTCTGGTAACCTAACGCACCATTCCTGGATGACAGGAACTTGGCTTCTCTGCAAAGCAGCCTTTATTTTCCACAGCCAGACCTCTGGGCAGAGCTGTAGGGAAAGTCTCAGGCAGGCCAAAGCCAAACCACCTGAGACCCCGCCAGGCTGCAGCTCTGCCATGAGGCCCTGGGCTGTGTTTGCCCAGAGAGCTTTGTTTGAAGTCCCACCTGTGTGTATATACCCTTTGCCCTGCTCCCAGCATGGGCTCCAACCCTCAACAAAGCTCACAAAACCTGGAAAATGCAGCCCGGTCTGCTTTTCCCACTTGACCTCTCTGTGTCCTGTTTTCCCGCCCCCAGCCCCCTCCAGGTCCCCAGGCCTTCTGCCTCCGCACTCGCTCCCCTCTGCTGAGGAGGCTCTGCTGTGCCCTGCGCCACCTCATCCAGAGCCTTCTAGCAGGATGGGTTGCTTCTCTTTGCCCATGAGCACTCTGCACTCCCCGGGAGTGAGAAGAAAAGGGCAAAGCCCTGTTTTACGGTGCAGTTTTTGGTTTGGGCCTAGATGAGAGCTCTTTTCGAGGATAGGGGTTTGAGCTCCCAGATACAAGCCTGTTGAATTTCTGTTTCTTTTTCTAGCCTAGCTCAGTGGTTCTCAAATGTTAGTGTGCTAAGAGTTCGTGTACAACCTGAATGTGTATACAAATTTCACATACCACTGAAAAGCGTGGACCGTTTTGTGTCCCATGATTTGTCCCCTATGCACTTGATTTGAATGCAATCCTTGTGGTGACTCCACAGCAGTAACTCATCCAGAACAAAGGGTAGCCAATGCTGAGAAGAACATTTGAGATCATCCAGGTCCATAGTTGTAGAAGTTCAGTGTTACATACGCCTTTCATGATATAATGAAAGCTGTAGAGAGTCTTACCGGAAAACTTTGTCCACATTCCAGGTTCCTAATAAAATATGTAATCAATAAAACCCATTTCATAGATGAGGAAAGCAAGCCCAGAGAAGGTAAGCAAGGTCTTTGGCCCGAGGTCTCAGAGCCGTGTAGTGGAAGCACTGGGAATAGAAAGCAAGTCTCTGTTCTGACAACTGGGTTGTGTCCCTAAGCAGGCTGCCCCTGCCCACTGAGAGCCTTCTCCACAACAGTCTAACCTCTGCCCGGTGACATCCAGTGACACAGGATCTTTGCTTCACTCTGCATGCACCTTTGCATGATTAAGCAGGTGCCTCTGTCATAGGGGTCATTCCATCACTCTGGGGGTCAGATGGCAGAAGCACTAGGCCCTCTGGGCCTTCTGAGAAGTGAGTTAGGTCCTGATACTCTACCGATACGTGAGCTCCAGGCAGAGGCTTCCAGCTGAGCTTGGACTGGCACATCCCATAGGCCGGGATTTAGGCTGAAGAAATTCAGGTTAAAGCTGGGCCAGTAGGAGAGCAGAGGACAAAGAAATAGGAGCTGAAATAAAGTAGGAAAATTGACCCCAGCATGAGGGGCCAAAGTCATATCAAGGCCCAGAAAGCTACGGGCTATGACAGGGAAGGTGAAAGTGTCAGGAAAGAACTGGCCAAGAACTAAGTGATCCAGGAAATTACACTAGAAAAGATGAGCTACTGCTGACTTTTTAAATAGTTAGTTTAAGCCAGACATAGTGGCACATGCCTGTGATCCCAGCTTTTGGGAGGCTGAGGCAGGAAGTTTGCAGGTTTGAGTTCTGCCTGGGCAACTTAGTAAGACCTTGTCTTAAAATAAAAAATAAAAGAAGGCTGGGGATATAGCTCGATGCAAAGGTCCTGGGTTCAATCACCAGAGCCACAAAAAAGAAAAAAAAAAGTTACCTTGAACATGACAAGTTGACATTAGTTAGGATAGTTTTTCCTTAAAAATGAATCACTTGAAACTGTGTTAAACCATCGAGGGAATCAATTAGGTCTTGTAAATTAAAGGTCCAGAGGTAGGTTAGGCTTCGGGAATAGTGTGATCGAGGATGTGGTTCAGTTTCTTAGTAATTTTCTCAATGCTGTTCTTCAATGGACTTTTGACCTGGAACTGGCTCCTTTCATAACAGCAAAGTGCTGCAGCCGTTTCAGGCCTCATACCTGCATTCTACACTCCAAGAGCAAGAAGGGATTTGTCTTTCTCTAGTCATTGAGCAAAAGTACAAACATCAATGAGAGCCAAGACCTGTCATGTAAAGGTACAAGATCCCAGTGATGAATGTAACTGTACTGTATACCTAAAAAATACCAATAAACTCAATGAGAAGAAAAACAAAAAAGGGCTGGGCATTTAGCTCAGTGGTGCTGCTGCCTGCCTCGCAAGTGCAAGGACCCAAGTTCGATCCCTGGTGCCAAAAACTAAAACTACAAACATCACTCTTATTGCATTTGAATCAATCTCCTTCACCAGGCAGAGTCTACATCGAAGGGCTTTGGCATGGCACAGCCTCCTTGGACCCAGGCCGGGTCAATTCCATGCCAGCCGTGGGTTTCCTCACAACAATACTGGCAGATGGATGGTAGGGAGGTCAACACAGGGCCTGTTCTATGGACTCAGGGTGCTGTGGCTGCCCCCTGGAATTCTGATGACCTTTACCTTATTCAAAGCTCCGAGAATGATATGGTTCACACCTTATTTCTAGAGATCTCTTCAGAGATCTCTTAAGGTGTGATTGAGCCTCTCTGAATGCTGCTTGAACCTCTTGTAAGTTTGGGAACCTGGCACTGAGAGATTCTGATTCACTTTTTAAAAGTCATAGAAAGTTGGAGCAGGAAGGGGTCATTTGAAATTATCCAGCCCAACTCCTCATTCTCATTTTTTACAGGGATGCTGCTATCTGGACCCAAATCCAAGCGCTTCCTCTGAGCCAGTGAGGGAGGAGCTCCGCACTGCAAATTGTAGGAGCCCAGTTTTGAGCCAGGGCTGCCACTTAGCAACTGGGAAGTTGATTTAGCCCATTGGACTCTGTTTCCTTGTAAATGAAACGGAAACGATGGCAGCAGTGCTGACTGTATAAGGGATGGTGAGGATTAATCCTGGGCTCATTTCCTACTGCTGCTGAAACAAACAACCCATATTTAATGTATAAAACAGCACAATTTGTTTTCTCCTGCAGTTTTGGAGGTCTGGAGCTGGACGTGGGAGTCCGTCGGCAGAGCTGACTCCTTCCGGGGCATCACAGCAGCGTGTTTCCCTGACTTGCCAGCTCCTGGGCAGCCCCTTCCTCATACTACAACCTGTTCCCTGGTTACGTCTCCTCTCTTTGCCTTTCTCCTCCTGCCTCCCTGTTAATAAGATCCTTTGTGGTTGCACTCGGTCCACCTCATAATCCAGGAAAATGTCTCCATCTTAAGAATCTTCATTTAATCACGTCTTCATTGTCCCCTTTACCAGATAAGAAAACATATTCCCCAATCCCTGGCGTTAGGATGTGACCATCTTTAGGGGAAAGCGGAGTGAGGAGGCATGTAACTAACATAACCAATATGAAAGTATGTAGCATAGGGCCAGGCACATAGTGAGCATTCAGTAAATGTCACCACTATCATTTGGGCCCCATCTACTAGTGCTCAGCACATGCATGGTGCTAAGACTACCAGAGTGATCCAAACAGATGGGACACCTGCCTTTGTGCAGCCTATTCAGTCTCCTCGGGGTCTTATTTGGACTCTCAAATTCTTAAACACAATGGAATGTTTAAATCCACTGCACATACGCTCCATAGTTGTATCCATCAGCCGTGTAACAAACGACTTCCAAGCTTACTAATTCAAAACCTCTTTGGCTCTCAATTTTATAAGTCATCAAACTCAGTTCTTCTGGGCTGGGCTTCCCTGGGGCCAGCTGAACTGCTGGTTTATAATGGTTTGGGCTGGAATGAATGGGGTCTCTCTCCACGTGGTTATCATCTCAAAGACTAGTCCAGGCTTGATTGTTGATGGAAAGAAGAAAGAAGCAACGAGAGTAGGAAAGTCTCTGAAGTTCTAGGCTCAGAACCGACACGTGGTTACACCTGCCACTTCCAGGGATCGACAGAGATCACAAGGTCAGCCATGATCCAAGGAATACAGAAATAAACTTCATCTCACGGTGGGACAGGTACATGGTATAGTGGCCACAAAGACACTGCAGGGAAGGGAACAGAGGGGAGAAGGCAGGATCTCCTAATTACCAAAGGAGAATTTGCCCTGGAAAGATCTTCTGCATCCTGCCCAGGAGTGGCCATAAAGGTCTAACTATTCTCGTGCCCTCCCTCTGAGAAGGGCATCACATTAGCGTATTTCTTTATCCATACACTCAAATCCCAGGCCCCCAGATCTCTATTTTAAGTGATAGCTCTTGTTTCAGCAGCACATATACTAAAATTGTAAAGGACACTATTAAGTCCTTAACAAGGAAAAGTCAAGTTCACCAAGCTCTCCTCTGTCTTCTGGAAACTAGTAGGACAAGCGAGGCACATACACCAAAAATTGACAGAGTATCAGAACATCAAATTCCTTTAAAACAGAGATTTCTATTTGCCACTGACATGTGATTGAAAAAAGTGAGATACAGTTAATCCAATCCTAACACAAAAATTTAAAGAGAAAACTACTTATTCATATGTAGGCTAGGAAAACCACCAGAAAGACACATATACCACAGAATTAACAGCAGGTGGACATATTGGCTGGAATCAGAGGTGATTTTTATTTTATTTTTGTTGCTCTTTCTCTGAAATTCCCCTATTATAAACCTGAATTAGTTAAGTAATCAAAAAATGTAATTAAAAAACCACAATTGATTCTAATTATGCCAATGTTTAGAAATGAAGCTCTAAGTTATTTGATTGTGGTCTTAATGGTATGTGATGTAATTGAGGCTTCTGGGTTGGATTTGTTTTTGTTTTCTCTTTAAAATTGCCGTGGGGCACTAATTTGCCCAGTAAGTTCTTGAGCTCCCAATTTCAAGTTTATAAAAGCTATTAATGAATGCAAGTTCCTTTCATTTGCGCCCAGTCTCTCCCTTCTCTGGATGCTGGAGGCTGCAGGCTGTTCTGCAAGTGATACCCAGGGGCCAGCACAGTGAGTCTTCTCACAGTGACTGCGGAGCCGTGATTGAATGTCTTGCTCTTGGCTTTTATCAGGGATCAGAACACAGAACAGGCCACGACCAGCAACAAACACTGCTGTATCTTTTACAAACCCACTATCCAAGATGTTGTCTGTTATTCAGTTCACAGTCCTTTTTCTGTCAGAACCCGCCCCCTCCTAAAGATTCCCCCTTGGATACTCCTGAGGAAGTCTAGTTTCTATAATACCCAAATGAGCTTCCTGCCAGGAGACCATGGGACCAGGTCATTTATCTTGTTTTCTGTTTGCCTTTGCTGCTGGGAAGCTTAGAATCAAATTTTGTGCTCAATGAAAGTGACTTCCTTTGACCAAAGTTTTCCATCTTGTTGAATAGCACCAATATCTCTCTATATTGCTGAAGCCAGAAATTCCGGGCAACATTCAAGAAATTTCTGGCTCCTTGTGGCAATTACCAAGTGAAGGAATTCAGGAAAATATGGTATTTTGAGGTGCCGAGTGTGTCGAACTGAGGGCCCTTGAGGATAGTGAGTACAGGTGGAGGCTTTCTCTGGGCTCCTCGTGTGTACCTAAGAGGAATTCCCCTGTCATGAATCTTCTCCCCAGGAATTTCAAAAACAGCAGGAATCCCCTCAGATTACGGGAGAAGAGACTTGAAGTCAGCACTACACCCAGCCTCTGTCACAAGCTGTCACCTGTTCTTCTGCTGTCCATTAATCTTTCCCCAAACCATTCATTCGCCCTTAAGTTGTCTTCTTGGCTGTCTCTATGACAAATACGTATCTGCTTCTAGATCTCAGTGGGGATTTCAGTACCCACTTTTCTTTCATGTGAGGCAGCATTCATCTAATAAATTTGCATACCTTTTTTCCTGTTAATCTGCCTATTGTCTGCTTACTCGCAGATTCAGTTATGAAACCCAGAGAGTAGAGGGATAGTCTTTCGTTCTCTACCTGGTCTGGAGTTTCCAGTGTGTCCACCTCTGCAGTCCTGCTGTCACTTTGTAGGGTAACCATCCTCTTTCCTTGCTTGGGTTGCTCATATAGTCTCCTCAGGGGACCCCCCCAAATCACATCTTACCGTACTGTTACTCTATGACTCTTCCTCCCCACAGAAAATCCATCTTCCTACTGCACAGGGCGAATGGCTAACATACCAGTTCCATCTAGTGAGCTAAAAGGCTTTCCATGTGAAGTCCTTACTGCCTGTTGCTTTTCATACATGAGTCTCCATCTGTGTGTCACTCCAGCCACACCCAGTCAACAAGCCCCACTCTCTCGTCACCAGGATTGTGCATGTACTCTCTCCTTGCCTCAAATATGTTCTTCTCTTTTCCCTGGCTCTCCATTTGCACGGCTGGTGTATGGATCTCGTGTTAGAGTTTGTTCACTAAAGCCATCCCTGGATCCTTCGCCCAACCCAGATTGGCTGGGTGTCCCTCCTGTGAGTCCCCATGCTTGTCCACAGTTCCTCTGCGCTGGCACTTACCATGACAAATTAAAGGAGAGGCTTCCTTATCTGTCTCCTGCATTAAACCTCAAACATGAAGCACACAGTCCCAAGTCTAGCTGCTGCTGCATTACAGGGCCTACAACAGACTCTGACCCACAGTGGATGATCATGGAAGATTTATTAAAAGTATGAATAAATACATAAAGTTTTCTGGAATAGTAATCTCATCCTGCTCTCTCCCTCCCTTTCCTTATTTATCTATTGTTTGGCCCCATAGTTTTACATTGTGCATTTCTGTTACCATAAAATAACCTGTAGATTATGTACCTTTCCTTGCTATAAATCCTTGCAACAGTCCTATCAGGAGGTGGGACCTCCTTCCCCAACCCTTAGGTCAGGGCCAAGTAATACACTTGGGTGTACAAATGCAGTTGGCTGAGGTTTGGGAGGATTTTGCCTCAATGTGGGTGTCTGTGTGTGCTTCTTTCTGTTTCTTCCCTTGGAACAAGCCTGAGCTGGGCTGCTAGATTCCAGATAGGGGCTGCAGGGCCTGCATCATGCTGGCCAACAGCCTGCCAGCTGCCAATTGGAAGTGATGTATTTTAGGCTAGGCAGCTGCTCTGACACCTGAGCCCAGGAGAGATCAGCCAGGGTTGGCCCATACCTTTGGACACGCCTGCTTTGACAAACAGAGAACAGTAACAAAGGTTTACTATCTTAATTCCTGTGTGTTAAGGTGGTTTCCTAAGTAAGCATGGTATCTTTTCTCATAGCTGATCTCAAGAGGCACCACCCACTACACAGATGGATACCTTGAAGGTTCTAGAGAGCTGGGGTCTATTTGATCCAATTTTGTCCAACATCATAGGATATACACTCAAAGTCTGTCAGTAAAGACAGAATTATAAAGTGTATCCAAATTTCTAGGTGACCAAAGTCTTCTTCCATCCTTTTCATGTCTGATTTATTTCTTCTAGCTCCCCGCATCCCAAATAAAACAAAACTTAACTTCTCGTCCCTATATGCTACTCAAGATTCATATTTTACTCATCTGGGGGTCCTTTGACCTCACCCCTGACTGCCTCTGAGGTCGTGTTTTGGTAAGGGCTCCTGCAAGGCCTCCCGCAAGTTACTCTCTTTTATGAATTGCTCCATCGGTAAAATGGACACTGTAATCCACCTACCTCCAGGGGCTGTGAAGGTTTGCTTGTTAATGGACTTATTCATTCTGCTAATATTTATAGCAGATCATCTAGTGCCGGGTGTTCCAGGCTGTAGGGATGTCTCCAGTAAACCAGTGGGGTGGCAACGCCCCCATGCTGGGAAAGTGAGTGAAAGCCCGCCCTGTGGGAATTCAGGGTAAATCGGGGCAAGGCCGGAAGGGGCCTCACGGAAATCTTTCTGGGGGGTCTTAGTGAGCAGGTGGGGCTTGTAGCAAGGCTTGGAGGAGATAAAGTCAGCCCTGCAGGTGTCTGGGAAAAGAGCATCCGACAGGAGAACAGATCCGGCAAAGGCAGAGCACAGGACTGTGCTGGCTGGGGAGCCGCCACCAGCTGGAGGGAGAGCAGCGGGGATGAGCAGCAGGAGAGGCCTCGGGGCCTTGGTGCAGCTGCGGAGAAGCCCTTGCTCAGTGCTTCTCAATATGTAGTGAAATTAAAACTACAGTGAGAGCTTAAGTGTAAAAAAGAATATTACAGTAAGAGACTCATTGCCACGAACCCCCTCCAAACACCCCCCTTGCTTCAGACTTGTGCCGTTGTTCTTGGCACTTTCTGAAGCAGGTCTGCAAGTCCATTTTTGTGTCTTTATTTGTGCTGTCATGGCTGCTGTGATGTCCCGAATTGATTCAAAGCATTTAACTTTCGTGGTCATTTCAACTTGGGGACAAGCCAGAAGTCACATGTGCCAGATCTGGTGAATAAGATGGACGAGGGACACATTGTATGCTTTTTACAAACCTGCCTTTCTGTCAGATGGCATTTGGCAGCTGCATTCACCATATTTTTGATCACATATCACTAAAGAGGACTTCTAGAACTGCTCTAGAAAGAGGCAAGAACAATGGGATAAGTGTATTTGAAGTGAGAGGGATTAGTGTGTACTTCACTGTAATGAATTTTTAAAATGTAAATACACGCTGTATTATTTTATCAGGCCTTATATGCACAGCTCCAGTGCAGTAGGAAGGCCAGTGTGCAGAAAGCCCTGCTGCCCTTTGAGAGAAGAAGAGGACCAAATAATTCATCCTCTTGAAGCTTAGCAGTAGTAATCTTGATACTGGATGGTAATAGCGTCACCTGCAGTCACTACCAAGAAACAAAGCAAGGACCCCCAAGGGGCACTCACCTCAGGACAAGAGGGAGTGTCAGCTACTCTGTAAATCAGAGGTTAAGACCTGCAAACACAGAACCCCAAAGCTGGGGCACTGTAGCAAAGGTAACTAAGAAGGAGCCATGACAGTTTCCTAAAAGTGTCAGGGAGGCTGGTGTGGTTGCCTAGGTCATCGAGGGCTCCATCTCCCCATACCCAGAGGCATCACACACTGGGTAGGACAAGTTTCTATACAATCCCATGAAGGAAAGCAAAGGCAAATGAGGCCCTGCCGTGGCCTGGTCAAATTGTCAGTCCTCTCTGGCTAGTGTTTGGGCTTGGTCTCTTTGGGATCATAAAGGACCTGGAGTTCTTGAAAGACAAGAGGGCAGGAACAAGGCAAAGGAGACAGAGGTCATGTTGCTCACTAGGCAGATGCAAGCTTGGAACCAATAATGGGAATATTAAGGCCTGATATGATCGTATTTGTACCCTGAACCATAGAGAGGGCTGAGCCAGTTAAGTTGACTCTTGTTGCTCTTAGAATTATCCTCTTTCTCCAGGGTATATGAGTTGGCCCTGTAATCAATCTGTTATGGGTCCCTTTCCAACCTTTGTTGTTTTGTCTCAAGGCTTCTGCTCTTGATGTTGGCCAGGACCCAGATCACAGCAAAATTGGGAGTGGTTGCCCAGGTGAAGCTCTTTCAACAGCCAGGTTCTCTTAGCCAAGTCAAGTAGCTGCAGTTGGCTTTGAGGGCCCTGAGAGCAGCACTTATCAAACTTAAAAGTCACCTTAGTTCCTAGGGGAACTTGCTCAAGTGCCAGCTCTGACA